TGAGAAATGAATGGAAAGAAGGGAGGAAGATATGGAAATTTAAAAGCAGCTTGCAAGCCAACCAAGTGGAAAGTAATAGGTGAGGCCCCATAGGTGATGTGGTAGGTCTAGGTTCAAGGCCTGCTTCAGACCACCACTAGGACAGCAACAGTCAACACTACATGTTCAGCAGACTGAAAAAGTGGCACCACTCTGATCCCAGGTGTATAAAAACTAACAAGTTCTTCCTCAATAAGGAGAATACATGACCTTTGGTGGAGGACAATGGATGAAGAAGCCAATTCCTGAATCACAGTCAAGGTATGCTCAAGAATTCCTCTTGAAGGATTTCCTGCTGATCAGTATCTTACAGGAGTATTTCAAGAGATGTTCCACGAAAGGGAGATCAGGAAAATGCAGAAAAGTTACTCTTCATTGGAGTTAATTTCAAGTAAATGAAACAGTGCTGATGAATCTTCAATATGGTTTTATGCTGAAATATTGGCAAATATCATATCGGCTATTGGCTTCATATATCAGCCAATATCAGAATTGGCAAAATCGGTCAAATCCAGTATCAGTCTATTTCTATATACAAATACAGTAAAACCTCACTAGTCCAAACTAGGGGGGGGAGCGGGTCAGGAGTAGCTGAAAGTATGGACAATCCGAAATATATAGGAAAAAAAGAAGTCCAGACCAGCAGGGTCCAGATTAGCGAGGTTTCACTGTATTCCAGATTGTCCGTACTTTCGGCTAATCAGGCCCCCCCCCCCCCCCCTCCCCCAATTAGTTCAGACTAGCAAGGTTTTACTGTATTTAGCCGATATGATATTTGCCAATATTTCAGCATAAAACCATATTGAAGATTCATCAGCACTGTTTCATTTACTTGAAATTAACTCCAATGAAGAGTAACTTTTCTGCATTTTCCTGATCTCCCTTTCTGTGAGCATTCAAAGAGAGGCTTCTTCTGGTTTAGATTGGCATCTGGGTGATGCAGGGCTTTTCACTTGAAACGGCTCTGAAGTATCTTCAGTATGTCAGCTCATGATGTGCTTGCATGTGTTTGTACTAAAGGGTTGTTATAGTTTCAATTTACCCAGACCAGTTTTCTAACTTTAGGGTGGAAAAGTAGTGAGGGCAGTGCCAGTGATAATTCCATGAGTGTACTCTATGATGGCATTGAGGATATTGATAAATGGATCTCTCCTTCAAACTGACCCTTTTGCATGATTATCCTTGAATCAATCCTTCCAAGTCACATTGAAAATTGTAAGGTTTTTACTGGCATCTGATTTTTGGATCTGCTTCTGTATACCATTGACATGCATACATAAGAATATGCTCATGTGGCACTAGATGGATATGCATGCATCATACATTCAACACTCCTCTCCTAACTCATTCTTTGGGGCATGACTCCCTGGGAGATGCAAATCAATACCTGTATTTGTAAGGGAGTGCATGTGTGAAGAGGTTTGGAGGAACAGCTGTATTTGCTAAAAGCTTTGTGGGGTTTCTTGTTGCTTTAGTAAAATCAAAGGCTTTTTTTTTGGCCTAATGCCACAAGATGATGTTGGGATCTGGGAATCATCTCAGGCAATTTCCCAAGAATTGCTTGAATATTCATTTTCTTTGGTATGCCCTAAAAAAAATTCCACTTACTTGGTTTTAATCCTCAAACTGATTATGACAATAAATCCTGATTTTGTTTATATGGCTCAGCTATAGTCAAAAGAAAATCTAATAAGTTGGGTGAGTTAAGTTCATCAAGAAGCAGCCTACTGTGAGTGTACCATTATATGTGATGCCTAATAAATAACAGCATAATAGGGGATGTGATGAGAAAGTGGGAGAAGGAGAACACAAGAGAATACCAGGAAATAGTGCATTTGTGGTAGTTGATGTTTAGTGGTGTGAGCAAAGGAGATGATCATCCACTCCATTTTATGTGACTTCACAAAAGTTTCCAAATGTTTGATTTGTTTCTTAAACAGTCCATATGTTATGGTACTGGATGAATCTCATCTCATATTACTGCCTAAAAGTGTATAAGAATTGTTCTATAAACAGAATTTATGTGAATGTTATATTGTGATTTCCAACTCTCATGAAGTTTGAAGCTGTAGAGTTATTGTGTAAATTGGTAAAAGCTTTGTCCTGACACCTGCACAGAATCAGACATTAAGGTGATTGCCCAAAGAGCTTCATTTATTTTTTCAAAGAGCAGAGACTTGCCACTGAAAAGCAGTGTCGTTCTTTAGTGGAGATTTACATGAATGATCAGAGAAGAACAATTTGCAGTTCTCTCTGCTAATTACCACGTTTTCTTTCAATGCCATCCAAAGGTGCCTATGTGGACTGTCAAGACAAATTGGTTTTGCTGACTCTGCTACTAAGATCTTTGAACTACAAGAGCAGCTGGCAACTTTCCGGCATGTGGTGAGTCTTTCATCTCTTAATCATGGACAACTAGCATTTTGCACAATTTTCTCCTTGTTTTCCTGTGCATTTGTTATATTCCCTTCTCATTTGAAGATTAGAAGTAACTGTTCCTTCAAGGCTTCTTTCCCCTCACTTCTGTCAAATTAAAAGCAAAGTGAGCAGTTTCATTCTGAATTTTTTATTCATAATTGCCATCCTTTTGACATCTGATGAACACTGATAGAACATAAATGTTGAGGGTGCTAAAGATGGAGATTATTTCAATTTTTTTTCCATGTGCATGCAATCACTGCACTATATATGACAAAAAATTCCATATTGGGTCGTTCTTTTGGGTGATTTCTTATTCAAAGATACTGATGAAAAAACTTTACTGCCAAAATTACAACTTCCTTTGACAAATAGTTTTCAAATTATGAACTTTAAAAATCGTATGAAGTCTAATTTATTGAAATAGCCAAACTTTGATTAAATGTAACTTCTAAAGTTGCTGTTTAATTTTAATTGGAAATAGGTCTCTGAAAAATCATGCTTTGTTAGGAATATCATGTTAATTGATATTTTTCAGGTTCTTGTCAACCCCTGAAATGTCTTTTTCCTAAAAAAAAATGTTTTCATTTTTATTATGTACATCTCCTACATTCAAAGGCAACAAATTTTATCCTGAAGTATAAACCTCTATGTAAACAGCCAATCTTCGACGTTCTTTGTAGACATGAGTTATAGGTTGCTGAAATTCAGAAATGTCAAATCTTCAAGAATTTTATTGTCATTTTTATCTGGTTTACATTTGATGTAGATTTTAAGTTACCTCAACACATCTAGATGTGTTTAATCAGTCCCAAAAATTATAAGTTCCCTCCATGATTGATATAAGAGATATGGCCCTTGAAAACTGGTCTGATTACTTATTCCCCATTCAATACATGACATTTATTTCTCCTTTCAAGAAGGTCAAGGAAATTGATATCAGAGCATCAGAAAACGAATATGAATTGAACTTTGTCAATTTTCAGGTTTTTCTACCTAGTAGACCATTACCTTGAATTGCGCAAAAAAGTATCTTGAGTGAAGACACTCACTTCAGAAATCTGCATCATGCTGATCTTGTTTGCCCAGTCATGTGAAGACCTATAGGTCATTGTCAGTGGGCTCAAGAGCTGCTCAGCTCCAAGCATGCAGAATGTCCAGAATGTGTAGAAGTCTGAGATGCTGTTAAAGTAAGTAATGACTCACTGCTACAAAACCATTCAGGATAACTTATTGAAGGTACTAGCTTTTCAGTACCTTGGACCATGGTTCACAGAGAAGAATCAAATGTGCCAGGATGATAATGCAAGAATTAGGCTGTGGCAATTTTACCAAATCCTCAAAGGAACTTGGCCTCCACATGAGAAGTATGTTTTCTGCTGAATGCCCATATACAAGGGCCCACAAAATGATAACTCCCCCCTTTTCAGATGAAACTGAAACAAATGCAGAAAATACTATGGCAGGACTGAATTCCTCACTTTTCTCTGTATTATGTAGGCAAATTTCGGAACATGATGCATTCACAATTTTGCATTTCAAACAACAGGGTATGATCTCAAGAAGGAACAAAAGACTGAAAACTGCACCAGCATTTCATGTCACTCAGGAATTCCCTGCACAAATGCAATCAATCTATAGTTTTTATTCATTGTCAATAATAAGTAAACCTGCAATAAATATACCCTACAGATGAAGAAACATACTCAGAGTAAACTCTTCTGCTGGCTTCAGCAATTACCATGATGTACTTTGCTGTGGGGGGGGGGGGGGGGGTCTATTATTTCATGGCCCATTGTAAATATGATCTTGCCAATGCTTCTATACAAAAAGAAGACCTGAATCCTAGGTGCTGGCTCAAAGTTTAAGCCAGTGGCAGCAGAAATAAGCTTTCTTTGACAAGTTGCAATTCTGTTATCATGAAGAAAAGATTACACATTGTTTACTAAACACTGTTTAGTAAAGTAAGCTTGCATGATGGTGATGCATTAAAAATTGCACATCAAATATTTTAGGAGCCATTTCAAGTAACTTCAACCTTTCCTGAAAGGGCTCATGGCAACATTCACTGGATTTGAACCATATCACCTGCCATTTGTTGTATGACACATGAATATCCATGATTTCTGACTGATCACATCCAAGCTGGGTTCTTATTCAAGGATCTCTCCTCAAATAAATCAGCCATGATCATGGAAATTAGTTAGAATCTATTTTTCTGCATGTTTTATGAAAACCACCATTTTGATAAGAGGGCATGGTCAAAATCAAAGTGAAAAGACAAGTGAGGAAAAATGCCCACTTAACAGCCATGCAGAATTTTGCACATGCATCTGGAGAGTTTCTTTATCTTCACACTTGAAGTGAGCTGATCTTGTCTTCTTGTCCTGGCTACTCATGTATAGATGAACAGATTAATTTTTCACAACCATTTTGTGAGGATGAAGGCAAGAAATTTGATGCTTTGTTTTTTCTTTCATCTGGAAAAGAGCACATTTATTGTAAATACATTAAAATTAAAGAATAATTCTTATTGGAAGCAGCAAGAGGAGTTGGTGCGGAGCAATCGCCTTGCCAAGAGCCTGGCCTACACAAAGCTCAAGTTTCCATTCCCACACATGGTTGCTGTTGTTGTCAAGGATTTGCCCTCAGGGATGAATCAACTCATGTCTCAAGGAACTGCTGATATCATTCTTGACTCATGTTCTGATGTCTGGGATGGCAAGGACCTTTTTCCTCTTACCAACAATCTCAGGTGGGGAAAAGGAAGGCCCAGAGATTACGGTTTCTTCAGTACTATTTTATATTCTCTCCTCTTTGTGCCCTTGACATTTTTTGTTCAGGAAGAAGATTTTGGATTTCTATCACCGAAGCAGCCTGACAGCCTACTGCACAGCATTTGCATATCGTCCAATGATGACTCATCTGAGTCCTACTGTATGTATGCAGTACCTGGAACTTCCAGCTGATGGTAGACTCCCCAAAACCCTTGCTTCTCCAGCCCCCAGTGCTTCAGTCCCATGGGAAAACATCACTGGTCAAGGACGATTAAAGACCCTACTTGGCCAGCATGTTAGCACTGGTATGGTTGCACCATCTTGCATCTCCACAATGTAGTTATACTGCTTGTTTGAGGCAATTCTTGTCCCTTGCTTTAGATTCCCTCCTTTGCACAAATGATGGAGAGCTGGATGAAGTAGATGATGCAGAGGGATGTGCCCGTGCACAACAGAAACAGATCTTCCTTGGCATAGTCACAATGCAATACCAAGCCCGCTTAGAGGCTGTAAGGCTCATTGAGGTCCTTGATCGAGCCTGTATTAGATTTGTTCACTTCAGCAAGGAAAATGAGCTTCGCAGTCGAGTCTTCTCTGAGAAGATGGGTCTGGAAAGTGGCTGGAATTGTCACATCTCACTCCTCTCTGATCGACATAGGTATAGGCAGCTGAATGTCCTTTCAGTAATCCATTAGAATAAAGGCATGGTTAGATCATTTTTTAAAGTGGCTAATGGTTACATGCATTTTGCACTGTACCAGCAATACTTTTACTGCCCTGGATGATTAAATGCTTATTAAGCATTGCTGGCTTATATGCTTTTATGCCAATCACAACTTTATGCCCTTGATATGCATATTTTGAGGGAGACCTAATCTGGTGTTAGGACATTGGTTAATAAAATGATCAGGGGAATAGTTTTTCTTCAATGGACTTTCTATGCTGAAGTTATACATGGCCTATCTTGAGTGAGGTACTCCATAGAATTGTGGCCAATACAATGATTGATTACATGCACCAAACACAAGAAGATGTCAGGATATCAATGTGCAACCATGCACTTGCAAGTAATCAGTGGGCTATTCTAATCATTCCCACATATCATGAGATTTTGATCAATTTGTGCACATAGTACCTTTGAAGGGTCCACCACATGTTTCAGTCAAAACCTACAAGCAAAGGTTGATGTCATGGGATGGAAAATCTTAATTTTTAATGGTAATTAACCTATGGAGCTCTGGGCAACCATGCAAATGATACCATTCTATATTTGCTCTGATATACCCAATTCTAAATTTAATTGATTTTCTGAGCTTGCTCCATGATCTGTGATTAGGAGAAAAAGTGTACATTAAAGGTGAAAAGTTGAACTACCTGCTCTGCCAGCTCATCCACTTACTTCACACCTTCACAAGTCATTTATGAGCTGAAATACAATCCCTGCCCTATTTCCTACAGTTGTCTCTTTTTGCCAACTTCTTTACTGTCTGCCTTGGATTAGTTCCCTCTAATGAATTGTTCATGCCCCTTTCCTGTTTGCTGGTATTGAGCAAGTATCAGTATGGCTGTGTAGATCCTAATGATCCAAATATCAAGCAAAGGGTTTGAAGCTGTAAGTTTCTTATGGGGTATCTTGAAGCCTATAGGTTCAGCCAGTCCTGTTTGCTGCATGGTGCTGTACTTGAGGTATACATTTTGATAATCCTGAAATTTGCCTTCAATTTTCCCTTTAATATGTCAATGAGTCAATGGAAATATGTACTTGTATGCATTTCTTGAAGGATTAAGTCTACCATACTGCAAATCACAAAGTAATAAGAGAAAATTTTTGAACTTCCTTACTTTGAAATTCAGCAGTTTTGTTATTCTGCTATACCAAAATTTAGAAAAATATTTAAATTATTGTAATTTTCAAAAGTGGGCCACACATCGAGCCAAAAAATCTGGGACCACTTTTCCTGTATGTTTTCAATGAATGCATTGATTGATGCCTTCACTGTAAGAGGCTTCAATAACTTTATGGATAAAAATGTTCAAGAACTATCTGTTTATGAAAGAGAAGCCTCAGACAGGCCACGTTGGCACAGTAGCAAGCACATGAGTCAAATGCTCATTAGGTATGGCTTCATCAATTTAGCCAGCAGATTTTCTGACTGAACATATTAAAATGCTCATATCTTAGGATTTTCTAAGGCAATTTCAAACTGATTTCACTAAAGCAAGGACAACAGATAACAATGGGATTAAAATTTAACTTTAAATTTAATTTAACTGAATTTGACTTTCACTTGTGTACAGAAAACATGAACATTTTTAAAGTGCCCCCTTATTTTTTTGTCCACTGTGTAGTTGAATTAGAGTCAATTATGAAGTAGTATATATCCAACTTTGAAGAGTTGGATCTCTACTCTACTACTCTACTCTCTACTCACTAGCTCTTTTTTATTGCAGAATATTAGTTTATTGTCTGAAGTGGGGAAGTATAGTCTCACCCATTTTCTTGAATGGACGATGACAAAATTTTCAAACTAGGGAGTGGTAAAAGGTAAATTCTGCATAAAATTGTGTTTGATGCTGAACCCAGGGGTAGAAGAGTATTGCTGAAGATTTTTTTTTTTTGTTTTGAGGACGTAATGATGCTATAGTGCAGAGCCATGCACACAGAGGTGTCTCATGTAGTGAGGCATGAATGTTTGCTTGCTTTTGCTTCTCTCTGTTGAAAAGAATGCACCTGGGAGGAGTGTGTGTCCTCCTTGACTGTGAACTCCTTGACATGTGGTTTTACTGTCAAAGCAAAATGCCTGGAAACTCCGGATGCCACTGAATGACATGGTTTACTAATGATGGTCAAAATTTCTTGCAGACCAGAAAGCAGAAGTGCATGGGATGAGTCACATGACCATCCATCGTATGAAGGTGACAGAGCTCCTACCCTGTACGTTTTCAGAAATAACATCCATTGTTCAATTAACCCAGAAATGTTATGCATATATATCAGCTGAACTAGTGTTCTGTCTCTGCATCAGAATTTGAGCTGAGGTGATTACTGATTACTTATGCTTCATCATTTAATAGGGTGGTATTGGAGGAGAAGAAGATGAAGAGCTACTCAGCACCAGGTGACCTGAACTTTGAGCCATCAACAGTCCCTTTTGATCCAAGACCTACTGTGCATCTTGACAATGAGGATAGCAGCAATCACATGTATCTCCATCCTCCTGAAAAGCCGAGGTCTGGCATACTCTTAAAGTCCCAGTTTCCTGAGCAAATTGTGCAGCATATAAGTATACCTGGTGCATTTTTGGCTGTTATGTGGGTCTGTCTATAGGAAACGATGTGAGAGTGAGGTGATGAGGAGATCCCTTAGGTATATAGACAATCCAGTCCCAATTGAGAGCAGTGAAGATGAGGGTCTTCTGTTGAACAATTCTCATGAAAGCATCATAGGTTCAAATCTGTCTTCTTCCGAGAGTATTAGTCATCTCAGTGAGAGTTCTGAGCGATCTGCTCCAGTCCCATTCGACATGTCTAATCGAGTGAGAACAGTTCCTAAGCAATTTCCCATATTTTGACTTCAGTGGTCCATGAAATGCAGTTTTTTCATACTGACAGGCAAAGCTCCCTCGTGGAATCGAGGCCATCCGTCCACACCTGTCCCAAGTGGATAATGTACCTCTGCAGGTTTCACTCTTCACTGACTGCACAGCTGAGGCCTGCAAGGAGATGCTGAGCATTATGCAGGAGTATGGCCAAGTTGTCTGCGTGGTTGGATCCACAGCCAGCATCCACAACACCGATGTGTTCTTACAGGCCGATGCTGCGTATGCCTTGAGTTTAGATTCTCTGTGTGCATGACTGTCATTATGACTGGTCAACTCAGTTGTACCTCATCCTTCATCCTTCTTTCTCCAGACTAGGAGTTGTACCTCTTTACCCACAAGTATGCATGAAGATTCCTTCGTACCAAGTACCCGCTAAGGAAAGTGAACCACCTCCAACAGAAGTTTCCCATGCTCTCACTTCCCTTCCATGTGCTTTGAACTTCCATGTTGGAGACTCACTTCCCCTGTCCTTCCTCATTTTGGAGGTAATAGCTCCTTTTAACTGTTTCTTCTATAATTATTCAAATCTTACATGAGATGAGAGATAGCCAGTTAACCATCCAACACAGGCACGTGCATGGATGCAAGGAACAAGGAACTGTCTTCAACTCTGGCTCACAGCTTCAATATCCCTGGCACTTCTTCAGGTCATTAGTGCTGTTATACTATTGCCTCCAATCCTGAGTCCTGCTCATGTGTGCTGGTTGTCTCTTGTCATCATACCTATCCAGTGCATACCGCTTGCTCTTAAGTGGTCTCCAGACCAGAATCTTATAACTGAGCCTATGGCCAAGCTTCAGCTCCATCTCAACTCTGAGGTATACATCCTTCAGAAAACATGTCTTCAAAATGATTGAATATTCTCACATATAAAATCTCTGATGAAGGAAACTTATTTATTATTCCAGTTGTTGAAGTACATTTTATGGTGTTATGGAGCCAAATTCCTGCCATCCATCATCATTCTGGTGTTTGTGTTCACACTCACACTGAGCTCTTTCTGTGAGGGCCTCTTTTCCCACTGTAATCTTGTTTATCCTGAAGACTCCACTCATCCCTGGGGTGGATGGTCTTATGGTGTGTCGGCAATTGGGCTCCTGATAGCCCAGAATTATGTGACTTGCCTCTTTGTCTTCTACATGGGTTTGTCCCTCTTTCATGGTTCTATCATTCTGATGATCATTAGGGTGTCTCATTCTGAGATCCTCTCGTTTTTGTTTGTAGCTTTGATTTCAGCATGTTTTGTTCATCGCATGGAGAACGTGTGGCATCGATCGCCACTTTCATCTCGGGCATGGGTCATCTGCTCTATGATCAGGTTCAGTTTGCAGTGGTTCTATCATCTTTTCCCCACCAGGAAGCCACGACACAAAGAGATTGTAAATTTATGTTTTCTTGCCTTAGCATTATCTTGCAGGTGCTGTATTCCACTGCTGAAATCTTCATATCAAAGGATGCAGAAGTTGTAATCCCAGGCATCCCTCTATTTTCTTGGCTCTTGGGATTCATCTGGCCTCTGCCATTGATTGCCTTCAATGAAGCATTCAAACGACATGAGATTAAGTGAGTATTGCAGTATTCCTATTGAAGTGAATGTCAGTGGAGTTAGTTTCACTGATTATGAATTTTTTCTTTCATCCTAGGGTGAATGTAAGATATCTCAAGAGAGCTCGGCTTGCATTCGGCACAAAGTTGGGCATGAATTCCCCTTTTTGAGGTGTTCACTGTGCAGTTGTTGTGCCTGTGACATTGCTGTAGTTCGCTTTGCTGTTTTATCTGTGATATAAATGGCGTTTTTAGGAAATCAGAGTCATTTTTTGCAGACCCCATTCCTTTCCTCACCTTATCCCAAATCCCTTCCTTCACATTGGGTCTGGCCAAGCTAGGTCAGGACCAGCTGCCCTGACGGCTTGTGCAAATACAAGCCATCATGCAAGTATGGTAATTTTGAGCACCTTGTATTTCAGTATAGTGCATTGTGGCTGCATTTTCCCACTATGCAAATGCTTGTGCTCATTAATATTGATACATTCTGATTTGTCCCCCCCCCCCCCCGACCCCATTCCCTACGGGAATTCGATTTGGCGTCTGAAGATGTATGCCAGAAATACTCACTTAGAGAAAATGTACAGCTTGATTTTAAAAAGTCACTTGATTTTTGTGACGTATTTGGTATCAATTTATTTTATTAGCGCCCCCCCCCCTCCCCCCCGCCTGAACTCTTAGGTGTAGCATGAAGAGCAACAGAGACTTTATAATAAAGGATGGAAAATGAGTGCGATTAGCGAATGTTTCTTCGTAATTGATCCAGAACATTGGAAACGGAGTAAGTGCTAGGATGACACGCGTACGATGTGGCCAACATTCGTTTCAGCAGGGACAGCCATTCACAAGGGAAAATTGGACGCAGCACTGCGATGCTGGGCAAGATAAATATGCCGAACTTCATGGCGGATGGCATGCTTTATTCCCATGAAGTGTGTCAAATGGTGACGGTACACACGTGAATTCAGAAACCCTGTTAGCTGGAATGAGATCTGGAGATCGGGGTGTCCGTACCGTTGCAAAACCTCGGCTAAGGATGCTTTCTCCGAAATGCAATGATCCATGCTACGCACGCATGTTGCGAATTTTAGCAGTTCTCTAACAGGCAGCGTCTGGACCATGTCATCCTTCAACAAGATAATTTCTCATTCCACAATTCTCATTCTCACATCCCTCATTGTGAGGCGAAAGCTTCTCTTCGATAGCATGTCGGTGCCTTGAATCACCCTGTAGGCCTACGTGAATGTACATTTCTTAGCAAGGGACTTTCAACTGCGTTTGACACTGACGAGCACACGTGATGTGCATACGTCATCGATGCACCCCTGAGCGAGATGATCATGGTGTTGTCGATTTTGTCGTATCGTGTTCATTGCTTTGTATCGTAAGGATATATATTTATATGTAATTGAAGTCATAATTATCTCAATGCAGGTGTGCGTACTACTGGGTTGGAGTTCGTGGGATACAGTATATTCAAACGCATTGTCAGAGGTGTAAAAGCATCAAAAGACGAAATATCTCAATTTTATATTAGTGGTTGTGGAGGATTCACAGGCGATCTTGCACAAAGGCCAGCTAGCGAGGAAGTCGACAATTGTGAGTGTCCATCTTCCTTTACTTTCTTCGATCCTTCTTCACTATTCCCTTTCCCTGCTTGATTTCGTCCCGCCTTCCCCTCATTGTCCTCTTCTGTCGTCCTCGGGGGGGGGGGGGGGTTCCGTTGAGAAAACTTTTGGAGAATGAATCCCAGCCCAACAGGTTTATTGCTTCTCATACACATGGTATTCAGTGAGATAATAATGATGAATACAACCAAGGAGCAATTACAGCACCAATAATTCAGCTGAGGACATGTACAGGACATGAATCAGGGAAGAAAGGTGAAGAGGAAAATGAGGGGGAGAGAGAGACTATCGAAAATGAGAAGGGGAAAAAACACAACGGAGGGAAAAAGTATAATAATGAAGCATTCCTCTGCTCATTAGGTAGTCAGATATGGCAGAAGAAACACTCCAGAATGACTAGTTGACACTCATCGTTTGACAGCTCCTTCTTGCCGTTCTTTTAAATAATTTTCAAGTCTGCTGTCGCGTTTGGAATGAAAATTTGATAGTATACACCCCCAGAAAAAAAGACTATTTTATCAGAAGAAGAACAGGGTCGCTTGAGAGGGGATCAGAATATGATCTTTACTTCCGTGCTAGAGGGCTAGGTCCATGCAGTCAATCGAACACAGCACAAACACGTGGAGACAGAAGAGAGAGAGACAGAAATAAGGAAAGAGAAAATGATCGTCACCATCACCAAGGGAGGGAGAAAAGCAGAGGATAAATAAGAGAGAGCGAGGAGCTTGTCAATGAAATCCAGTGCCGACAAGAAATGTTCTCAAAATCACTGAGCATGAATTCCCATCCGGCCAGTTCGGCATATGAGAGAGAGAGAGATAGGAGAAGGAGAGTGAGTGAGTGAGTTCATTGCTCTGCTTCGGCACGATATTCCATCGTTCGCATGTAGGTCGAGTCTGATGTCATCTTCTTGTGATGGCGAGTCGTCGATGCCTGGAGGAAGACAAGAAATAAATTCCCCTCATTAGAATTTCGTGTCATGGCTTGAGGCCGGCCGTATGCGTTGAAAGATTTCTTGTGTGAAAATACCAGTTAGACTACATTCATAATTAATTGAAGAGCAAAATGGAAGGAAGACTCAGCGAAAGGTTTTTGCGAGAAAATCGTGAGATATTGGATACATGTTGTCAGTTTCATAGACATATTTCATGGCATACAGCCGCATTATGAATGAATGAATGGATGGATGGATGGAGGATGTATGAATGGGGATGTAATCATGGCCAAAGAGAAAAACCCTTGGACATTTTTTATCTTCCGAGGGATTTCGTTGTGGGATATTGGGAGTCAGTGAATTACTTGTGATTGTGATTGCAGTCTGTTCCCTTCTACCACGTATTCCCATCGAGAAATCCCTCTGACATCGAAAAATGTCCTAGGTTTTATTCTTTTCATTTTTTGACCGTGACTGCACCGAGTATTATTGGATGTACGACTGCTGTACTATGGTATGACACTATCCGAATCACATGAAAATACGATGCTACATGTTGCGATATCTCGAAGAGGAAAAGGAGGCCCTGTTCCTCGATAGGGAATCCCTACAGAGCTGCTACATAGGGAAACTACATAAATCAACTATTCAGCTCTAGAACTATCTGCACTACTACTATACTATTTTGGGGGCATACAATGAAGGAGACAGACAGAAGATTCTAAAGAGAAGACAGCGATTGGCTCTCCACTCCACTACAACTCCGCAGGCGATTGGTTTTTCTTCCCCTCTTTTTCAATTTTCAAAGAAACTTACGAAATAATTACAGCATGAAGAAAGAGATAGGGGCGGAAATAGAATTTAATCCATGGCTGGTTCCACTCTTCTAGCTCGACTCTTGCTCGGCTGAACGGGGAGAATGAGAAGGATGAAGGAAACCATCGAAATTCTTGGGGGAGAAGGAAGGAGAAAATAAAGAAATCTGGCTGATCCGGGCCGGAGCACTCACTCCAGAAGGTCCAGGAGAGACCCTGGTGGCAGATCCCGCGCGTCCCCGAGCGCGTAGCTTGGACAGAGCCGTCTCGGCCAAGTCTACCCTCTCTTCGGATTCCTCAAGCTCCTGCTGAGCCTTGCGGAATTTAGCCAGGTTGAGGGCGGCGATCTCTTCGGCCTCCTCGATCTGCCTCTTGTAGGTCTTGATCTTTTGCTGCAGTTTGTCCACGAGGTCCTGCATGCGTTCGTGGTTCTTCCTGTCCTCGTCAGCCTATGATCCAAAGAAGCATTGTTTTTATTTCGCTGCTTGCCAGTCATGGTGAGTATGGATAACGCGCATAGAAAAGGGATATTTTCTCGTGATGAGGCTGAACTGAAGGTAATTAGGAGGAAGGAAAGAATTAGATACTGTTACGATGGAGCTTCCGATTTTCTTTTCAATGAGGCCTCACTGCTACTCGGTTTCCTACATTCTAGATTTTAAAGAAAAAAACATTTACATGCTATCGATATAGCTGCGTATTTACCTGGAAGGTGAGTTCCTTGATTCGGCGTTCGGATTTGCGGAGGTTCTTCTGAGCTTCGGCATGTCGTCTCTGTTCACCGTCCAGCTCGCTCTCCAAGGCCCTGACCCTTTCTTCGAGTTTCTGGATAGTCTTGCGACCGCCCTTGAGAGCAGCTGCCTCGGCCTCATCCACGCGGACCTGCAGCTCCTTCACCTGCTGTTCCAGAGCCTTCCTCATCTTCTCTTGCTGGCTTGCATGCTCCTGTTCCGCCCTGAGCTCGTCGGCCAGACGAGCGGCATCCACCATGGCGCGCTTAGCCTTCTCCTCGCTGTTCTTGGCTTCGTTCAGCATCTCGTCCAAGTCAGCCTGAAACGATTCCATGTTTTCCATGTTAAGAGGGGTTATCGTTGGGTTTTTCGTTCGGGAAAGGACGTGAACTGACATGAAGGGCCTGGAGTTCTCCCTCCAGCTTCCTCTTAGCCATGGACATGGAAGCATGCTGGGCGCTGAGTTCGTTGAGGTGATCGTGAGCCTCGGCCAGTTCGGTTTCCGCCTGCTTTCGGCCTCGGTCTGCCTGTTCCAGCAGTGTGCGGCTTTCCTCCAGTTCCGCGTGCAAGGCATTGGCTTTCCTCTCGGAGATACCAAGCTGTTCTCGGAGGTCCTCTCGGATGCGGCCTTCTTCCTCCAACAGAGTCTGCAGATCCTTGATCTGGGTCTGGTACTTCTTGATGTTCTTCTGAGCCTCGGCATTGGCCTGCAAATTTTTTGTGCATCATTGTTATCAATGAAGAGAGAAGAGAGATTGCTGGTCATGTGCGGTTTTGTCACCTTGTTGGCATGGTCGAGGGCGATCTCCAGCTCGTTGATGTCCTGTTCCAGTTTCTTCTTCATGCGAAGAGCCTCTGCCTTGCCCTTGGCCTCGGCTTCCAAGCTTGCCTGCATCGAATCGATTGCCCTCTGGTGGTTCTTCCTATACAAGCATGCACAGTCAATATGAATGCTTCATGAAAGACTGAAGAGAAAAACTGATTTTAATCCCCTAATGCTTGCCTTGTGTTTTCGAATTCTTCCTCCTTCTCTTGGATTCTCCTGTCGATTTCCTGGCGGACCTGGCTGAGTTCCAGTTGTCCCCTGAGGACTTTGTTTTCCTCTTGTTCCAATGCTGCCTCGGCTTCTTCCAATGCCGCCTGGAGTTCCTCCTTTTCCACTTCCAGTCTCTTCCTTGCCTTCTCGATCTCGTGAAGGTTTCTTCCAGAATCCGTCATCTGATCCATCAAGTCCTTGATCTCATCTGTGCAAAGAAAGAAGGGATAACGAGGCTGTTTTCTTGCTGCACTTGATCCCGGGTTTCGTTTTATGACTTTTAGTGAATGGCTCACCGGCGAGGTTCTTGTTCTCCCTCTTAACTGATTCAAGTTGTTCCTGGCTCTCGTCATAGCCAGCCTTGATGCGGAAGAGCTCAGTGGAATAGTTGCGGCATTCCTTCTGGGAAGCATCCAGTTCCACGGTGAGGTCGTCCACTTTCATCTTCCATTCCCCGACGATCTTGTCGAAGTTCTTCTGCTTCTTCTCCATGGCAGCAGCCAGAGCCTGGGCCTGTTCCACTTGCATTTGCATGTCTTCCACTTCCCCACCCAACTTCTGCCTGATCTTCTCCAGGGCCACGCATTTCGCATTCAGCTGCTCAATGGTCTCTTCAGCCTCGCCCAATCGAGCTTGCAGCTTTCTCCTAGTATAGCGCAAACATATAGCATTATTTTGTTTCTGAAATTTTCGATCGAGTTCTTAGGAGGGAGAGGGAAAGGCATCGTACTTGGCCTCCTCGAGTTCCTCAGCTCGTGCCACACCTTCGCTCTCGTACTTGGCCCGCCACATCTGAGCTTCGGCATTGGCCTTGGACAATTGCCTCTGGAAGTCAGCCTTCGCCTCTGCTTCTTCTTCTATCTGTTCCCGCATGCTGTCCAAGTCGTGTTCGATGTTCCTGAACTTGCCCAGCAGAGTGGCCCTTTCCTGAAAAACAAACAAAATACATGTTTTTTGGATATGAAATTATGCAATAAAAAAAAACTAAATTTACACATGAGTACTGCAAACACGGTGTCATTTTGGGATCATTCTAAAAACGGAAATTTTAGCCACGATCCACATCGAAAATGAAATTGTTTTTGAGGGGAAGTAAGGCGAATTTCTTACTCTAGCTTCTTCATCGGCCATGCGCTTGGTATCCTCGAGCTGGGTGGCAAGAGAGATTTTGAGTTTGGACAGTTGTCCGACTTGAGATTCTGCTTCCTCCAATTGTCTGGTGAGGTCTGCATTCTCCAATGTCAACTTCTTCTTGGCTGAGTCGAAGTCGTTGAGGCTCCTGTTAGCCTCGTCCACGCGCATTTGCAAGTCGTTCACCTGCTGCTGGAGCTGCTTGTTCATCTTTTCCTGTGAGGCCTGTACACACCCCATACCCAGAATGACCAAACTATCCTCAAGAGACAGTATTTCATTCGAAGAAATGTCAAATAATTGCATTAACAGGTTGAATCATGTTCGAATTGCTATGTAGATGCAACACTAGGAATTTTCTTTGTTACCTTAAGAGAAAATTATTACTAATGGATATAAATTCAGTTTCCACTATGAGGCTTCACTTTAAAAGAAACATGTTTTCAGAAGTTGGTTTATATCCGTACCGGCGAAGGAATAAAAATTTTCCGAATTTGCAAGAGCCTCACATTGGAAAAGTATATATTAATATTTAGGAAGAAAAAAAATTCCTCACATACAACCACATGATTAGTGAGTAAGGGTGGATAGGTATTAGAGGTGCTTCAAGCAGACTGGTTTAGTATCGAAAGACATGTCTTGCGTTCTAACACGGCAAAGTCCTTTGTTAGTTCATCTCGTCCTATGCAGTGAGAATGAAGAGATATTGTTAAGATAGTAGTGATTCCAGTATTCTTCAGGGCTTCGAGCTCCAATGCATCGGCTATGTTGTCCGTTAGCTGATGCAAAGGAGCTGGAATTCCTGATGGAAAGCGTGAGGGCAAAGAGAAAGAGTGCAGACCAGAAATTTCAGAGGGTCCATTCGCTCATTTTAAAACTTCGTCCAAGTCCAGTGAGCAAAATAAAAGAAAAAACTGCACGAAGTTCACAATGTGCGGATGTAGAGGAAACACAACACCGAGGACAGACAAAAGTGGGTTTGGATAGTGTGTGTATGATCTGTACCTGTTCACGAGTTACGCTATCTAGGGCAGCCTGTGTTGCTTCCAATTCTGAAGCTAATTGTGCGCTGTCCCTTTCGTGCCTGCATGGAAACACAAGGTTTGCAAGGTTTGACATAAATTCAGATGTACAAATGCACGCATTTGTGGGTCAAGCAGAAATGTATAAATATGAAGAAATATAGGGTATACACGATTCAGTTCGGGGTCATTTTCTCGCGCCAGTATACGAGGGTAAAATATATGGTCGTAGAAGTGTGTCTTTAAAAAATTACTTTCTTATCGGTAAGCCTATCGATAAGGTGGCGGATCTCAAGTTCTTTTACTCATTCCATGCAAGATTGCGTTCTTTCTCGGCCCTGCAGGGAGCAAAAGCAGTGTTAGCCAGCCTCTACAACTAACTCTAGATGAGTATCACTAATTTGTTGAGAGTCTTCTCTTTTTTTCGGCTAGTCTAAGTTTCAGGCCCTCCATATATGACGTTATAATACCTTCTCGCCACTCAAGTGGTCCATGGCTGCTCTCATATCGTTCAGCTCTCCACTCATCTGTTGCCTGTCTTTCTCTGCCCTATTGATGGCAATCCAAACTCATCAGATCCATTTTTCCATCTGCCTCCATATAGCCTTTGGTTGAGTAGTATGCCTCTCATTCAAATAGATCAATGCACACTAATGCATATCATACATTCATGTACTTCAGTTTAAAAACGTTTTCCCGGGATTTCGCTGGAAAAAGAGCTCAATATAATGACCCGAATATTAGACTTCATTGGATTTAATGATTTCGAGGCTAGAAATGGAATGATATGATGTACGTACTTGGCCTTCATCTTGTTGAGTTGGTCAATTTGATCGCCCATTTCAGAGACGGCATCATTGTGCTTCTTCCTAAGGCTTGCAAGCGTGGATTCATGCTGAATGTTCGCCTCTTCCAGGTCCCTCCTCAGCTTTGCCAATTCTGCCTCTCGCTTCTTGTTCAGCTCGATCTGAGCCGCGGTCGCACCTGTTAATGGTCAATTAATTGCATGATCAATCGTGAAGGCAGATCAATCTCTCCATCGGGGGAAGGGGGATGTCTCCTAGGAATATCTTAATGGAACCTTTCTCAAATCCGTAGTAAGAGAGGATTTGGAACCAGGTTCATGCGAAAGGATTGAAGGGAATCCTGGAGACGAGCCAAGCCCTCTGTCTCGCAGTGGCCTGGGCAAACTACATTATGGTACTGAACATTCTTTATGAAATGATATACCTCCGGCTTCCTCGAGTCGTTCCCCGAGTTCCTCCAACTCCCTGGCGAGGTCTGCTCTCTGCTTCTCTGCCTTGGCCCTAGCCTGCCTCTCAGCCTCCAATTCCTCTTCCAGCTCCTCGATTCTCGTCTATTCCATTGTATAGACGTGTAATTTAAAACCCTTACTTGATACTCGGGAAGATGAACTCATTACTCGACGTGTCTCACCTGGAGCTCCTTGATCTGCTTCTGGAGCTTGGCGACGAGGGACTGTTCATCTTCGAGTTTTGCAGTGAGGGAGGAGATCTCCTTGTCCTTCCTCTGGATCGTCTGTTCCAGTTCCTTCTTGTTCCTTTCCAAGTCTGCCACTGCTTCCTGGGTCAGCTTCAGGTCACCCTCAATCTTCCTCTTCGTCTTCTCGATGTCCGCCCTTCAGACGAAAAATTACAAAATCACTCTCGGGAATGCCTTCATCGCTTCAATAGTATACTCGTGGAGGCCCAGCCCATACCTAAGTTTCTTTTCGCGTTCGAGGGAGTCCTCGAGTTCGTCCAGAGTCTGTTCGAGTTTCGACTTCACTTTGTTCAGATGATTGACCTTATCTTCCTGGGCCTATTTGGATTGGGACAGATGAACCGTGTCAGTATCGTTCCAAAATTCCAGTTTCATTTTGCAAGGAGTTTCAACGAATACGTACTTGGAGATCCTCTGCAGTTTTCTGGTTCGTTTCTTGGAGGAGCTTCTTCTCCTTGTTGATCTTGTTAATTAGTTCATCCTGATGGGCGATCTCATCATTGAGGTTTCTGATCTGGTGATCTTTTGTTGCCTTATCTTGTTCTGCCTTCTGGAGAGAGAGTTCCAGGTCTTCAATATCCTTCTTCAGACCTGACATCTCCTGTTCCAGCTTCTTCTTCCCTTGGAAGAGGTTGTTGCGAGAATCTTCCTCGTTCTGGAGTCTCTCTTGGGTGTCCTGGAGACACAAGGGGTAAGGGTATCCCTTTTGCTTTTAATTTTCTTTTTGAGGAATGACTCTTTATGTGACATTCGACTCACGGAAAGTTGCGATTCGAGGTCGGCTTTCTGGGCCATGAGTTTGTTGATTCTGTCTTGGAAGTCGACGCCAGATCCCCTCTCGTTCTCCAATTGTGATTGGAGGTCATTTTTCTCCGCGAGAATCTTGGCCAGCTTGTCTTCCAACTCTTTCCTGGCCTTTTCTTCCTTTTCGAAAGCCTCTTGGGCCTTGGTCGCCTTCTCCTCCAGGGCCTAGATGACAAATCCCCATGAAAAGATTTTTCCTTTTTCTATCAAGGCAGAAAAACTGATGCATCTCCACACCTCCGTGAGTTCTCTGCGACGCACTTTTCTGTTCGAGCTGATCATGGCACGAATGGGGTATAAAGGAGAGGAAAGCACCCAGGACACCTTATAGCCCTATGACTGAAGCCGTGTCTAGGCCCCCCACTCTCCTATAAGTAGATGCCCTCATTCCGTTCCTCCTTCCCGAATTCATTACACTTCCTCGGTTTCTCAGATGCGTTCCAGTCTGCCGACTATCGATTCGGATTCCAAGTCAGATGGCCATGTCTGCAGTTATTGGTTATCTTACTTGCAGACAACACCCTACATGTTGCAGTAGTTCGGGAAAATTTAATATCCTGCCGTTCATGATAATTAGCTCATGAAGAAAGATTAATGGCTTGCTATGCAAACTTTATTTTTGTCACCTTTAACCAGGTGTTGGTATGCATGTACGTTAGATGAGGTGAGTCTTGATGTCATTGAAATAGATGCAACCTCTCAAAACTATGATTAAACTGTGATTCTGTGTGGGTGGCGTGAGACGCAGTGCGATTCTCGTTTAAGAAAGCATTCCTACCTAGGGTGTTTCCTTGTCAAGGCCTTTACGAAATCATTTTACTTTAAACATTACATTACTTTTTACATTACTTTAAATCAGCATCCGTTATCTAAACCAACTATGGATCAAATTTCGGCTGTGGAGAGGTCCTGTAAGTATCCGAAGGGTTGTAGAAAAGTGAAATGGGAACTCACCCTCATCTCATCCTCAATCCTGGTGACGTTGAGCATAGGTTTGACTTTCTGCCACAATCTCCACCAAGGCCAGGTTCGGAGTTGCATATACTTGCGGAGGTTCCTCTGGACCACTTGCAATGCAACCCTAGGCAGGCAAACAGGGCGAGAGCGATGGAGACACTTCCAGAATTCCTTGCTTTCACTCGCGGAAAGAGGGAAAAAATTTCCCTCCTCTACCTACCTCCCGTGTTTTCATTGCTAAAAATATTTCTTGGCCTCCACATGTCGACTATCTTAGCTACATGTTCGGGAGCTTTTTTTCCTCACACGATCCCTCATCCCAAATGACAGACAGGTAGACACATGGAGAAACTAATAATATTTCCCCCCACTTGGCTGGTTTTCAGAGAAATCTCGACGGAGACTCTGCTGTAAGTCCTTGTGACCTAGATTTCAGCTTGATGGTGTCAATTATAGTACTTCGGATAGGAGACTAACCTCTGGTCCTGAAGTTTCTTGTATTCCATTCGAGTGAGGTAGCCTCGAACCCAGGATTGCATCCAAGTGATGATTTGAGCCACTTTGTCATCTCGAAGTTCTTCAAGGTGTCCCAGCACTCCGGCTCGGAAGAAGACCTACATTCCACAATTTTTTAAAGGAAAGATAATGAATCACCAAGAATCCCACAATTTCTCTAACTATTCTTCAGGCAATATTTAATAAAAAGGATTTGTAAAGTCCTACTGCCTTTTCAGTCCTCGCCTTCTCAAATCGTCAGTCTTATCTGGAAAGGTAATCTTTAGTGTTGAGGCTGTTTATGAAATCTTTTCTTCGCAGTAGTAAGTAGCACATAAAATTCAATCGAATATAAGTTGAGTCAGCATTGAATCAATATCCAATAAATTTTGAATCAACGTTATGTGTTACCTGATCAGGGGCGAATTTTGAAAGGAGGTGAGGCTCAAGGCTATCGAATCGTTTAAAGAGCACTATTCGTCGCATTCATCGATCGCTTCACATTGGTGCATTTTCGCACCATAATTATTATTGATGCTGCGAATGTACGATCAGAGTATGTTATCATGTGGGAAGCTTCAAATTGGAACTTTGTTTCATGTGGTTTTATTAAATAGTGCAACTGGAAATCCGACTACCGTGATGCTGCATAAGTGATCGTTGAACCTAATACTCTGAGAGCGCGATTTTGAGGAGTCGAGGACTTTACAGTTGCATACGTTTTTCCATAATCATGGAGAAACTAAAGCATCAGTCCTAATGACTCTTAAAGCAACATGCATAATGCACTCTACAAAATAGATGCACGCAAGAATTCGATAGAAGGGAACTCACCAATCCCTCACTTCACATGCACAGTGGAAAAGTCACGTAAAAACAAAGAGCGTCATGCAATGTCGGCACACAAACCAGTAAAACAAAACACACGAAAAAGCACGGATGACGGCGTGATGATTGCGGTGAGCTAAAGCAGGAAGTGAAGCCGAGAATCCATATAAAACAAATATTCATCACGTTAAAGAAGCGAGTCGTTTAGGTAATAGTTGCAAGAAATCACGATGTTGAACTGAAAGTTTCAGTGTAAATCATGAGGTGAATTGAATGAAACTCAAATGCTGATGTTTCGAAAAAAAAGAGGGGAGAAAATAATCATTAAAAGATCATTCATGCCTTGTTGTGGCCGAAACGATATTTATCGGCGTCCAAGTTGATGGCTTCCATGATTTTTTCGGAAGATTTCTTCGCATCCAAATTATCGCTCACGGCTTTGGGGTTCAGGATCCTATAGCTATAAAGGGATAACAACGTACATGGAGATAGCACACATTCATGCAAGTGTCATTCCTTTTTTGGATCTTTTCCATCGGGTACGAGGACGCATCCAGAATACATGAAACAAGATCTTGGATAGGGAATAAACATACACTGCATTGACTGGGGCTACACTATGGGATACACCCCGTGGATCTGGCAACTATTGGAATATTGCCTTAGCCGAATGAAGGCTTACGTTGCTGCCAGATTCACGGATACAAGAGACTCACGAATACAAGGAAAAGTACACATAAGGAGGATTTATACCGACGTACGTCTTCGGATCTATGCTTACAATCCTATTTCCTATAGAGACTAGAAGGTATTCAACTCCTCTTTTGGGTGTCATGCAGTGGCAGTTTCGCAAATATATCTGGGGTGGTTCTGTTTCCATGAAGTGCAAGGGACTAGAGGAAGTCTCTCTTCAGAAGTGAAATGCAGGCACGAGATACGAGGATTTGATGAGCATGCTTCGTGAGCTTCTCTATTTTGTGGCTTCCCATGGATATGATCCCGCGTGAAAATGGCGTCTTCCAGAAGTATTGAATTACTGGGAAGTGATGGCAGCATTCCAATAATGATCAATGAACGACACTACTCTCGCTACTACTCTAGAGGGAAAACGTCTTCGTTTACCTTGATTACAAGAAATGAAATGTGTTGTAGTGCATGCATTCAAGGTCTCACGAATATAAAATCTATGACTTGTAGGTAGACAACAAAAACAAATGAGCAGCTGATGAGTATCGAATCGAATGGCTGCGATTACTGAAAATAAAAGGATATAAACATGAATACAAAAAATTGACGTACATATCAACACTGTTCCAGTGAGTAGTATACGTAAACACTGTCCCAGTGGAGTAGTAAACGAATCAAACAAAGTAACCAATTGCAAGAATAGTTAGGACATCGAGGATGAACCGATTAGGACGACCAAGTAATTAGCGACAAATTTACACAGTGCAAGTACTGTATGTTCTGTACTGTATGGTACATTACAGATACGTGAAGAGAGTGAATTCATAGGTTGGCAGTATACGTGCCTTCGTATGGCCCAAACGGTATTTGTCTGTGTCCATATCAATTGCCTCGATGCAAATTTGGGTTGCTTTTTTCTCGTCGTTGGCTGCTCTCATTGCCTTCGGAGCTAGGATCATGTATCTATAAGGAGGCAAAACAATAATGCAAGTCTAAATTGAGCATTGTCCGCCATTAGCATTCCCTCTATGGTTTCGCCCATGCAATCCCCATCTCTCTGCCCATATCCTTCATGCTGATAAATGCTATAAATGTTGGATCGAGGATCCCTTGAGCGCCGTGACGTGCCTTGGTGTGTCCGAGCCTGTACTTGTCAGGATCAAGCTGCACTTCCTCGAGGCATAACCCACAGCCTACTTTCTCGTCAGTTGCTTTTCTCATTTGCTTCGGAGCGAGAATCATGTATCTACAAGGGGCAGACAAGAGACGATTGGGAGAGAAATCATAGGTTGCTCGGTTACAAAGAAATTGCTCATCCCTTAACGGAGATGGATTGAAGACACTTGACGCGGGAAGAGCCTTTCCCAAGCTGGCTGAACTGTACTTATCGAAATGAGACCGATTTTACGTGGGTCATATTTCCGGAAATCGGGAAGACAAGTTTTACCCTTATTCTCGGAAAAGCAGGAGGGAAGCACCTTGTCCCAATCTGTATCTGTTGGTGTTCCTTTGGATTTTCCTTTCCTTCTGGCAAGCTCCGATGACTTTGTTCTTCTTCCGTGACTCGCAAGTGTTTTGGGTTAACATCATGTAACTTACCAACACAATGTCATAATTTCATTATCGTTACTGTATTCTACTTCCAACGTCCCCACCAATTCAAGAGAGACGTGCTACAGAATTTCATCCAATCTGTAGAATTTCAACCTATTCCTCTGGGAATAGGTTGAACTTTGGAACTCGTACAATAGAATCCCAATAGGTGGGAAAAGGTATCTACAGTGTTTTTCACTTGACTTCGACACCCATGCATGAGGAACGTCCCATGTACGTGTGTTTGAGTCAAGTGAAAAATTGTCTAACTCAGGTGAAAAACACCGTAGAGCATGTCACCCAACGATGTTGACATCACAGCTTTATTCTAAATTGCTCTTTTTTTCCCCTTTGTATAGATTTTTTCTCGTGAAATTTTTTAGATATTAATCTGGGACTGTCAAGTGACCCTTTCACCGCAGTTTTAAATGGCGCGGTAAAAAAAAACACCAGCGCCTCCTCGGCGCTGTTTTTTTTTTAACGTTCTTGGTGTAAACCAATTACAACTTTTAGGGATAGCGAATAGAAATAATTGAAAATGTGGTATTATAGGAACCTGTGTTGGGAACGCGAAGTTTGAAAATGAGTATACTTGGGACTTGCAGTGAAAGGGTGCGGTTGTCGTTGAGGGGAAACATTTTGGAAGAATTCCTCCACAATCCATTTTTTGAAGAGCAAGACTGGCTATACCAGCTTAATCAGACTATTGCGAAAGATCTTAATTGAAGGGGTGTGCTTACCGATGCTTGAAGTCAGGGTAGACCATCCTGTTGGGGAAACCCTTTCGGCAGATACGGATACCTTCAAGCACACCGTTGCAAGTCAGTTGATGCATCACCAAGTGGGAGTCGATAAGACCTGTCATTTACAAACCCCGGGCGATCAGTCACTATGTCACGCCCTCAATCAGGGTGACAATATTATCATTCATTAGGCGCGTACAATTCGAAATACAGCTGAAGAGATTTTCAAAATTTCTCTACGTTACAGTTAAACACCTCTACTACTACCTGTATATCCAGACACTCTTGGATTGTTTTGCTTGAGTATTTGATGGGAATAAGTGACATACCAATGAAACTGCATTTGATGAGGGTTGAAGCACTCATAGCAGTTGAAGCATTCATAGAACTCATACTATTCAAAACGTACTCGAATCATGAGGGCAAAAACGAATGCAACAAGGAATAAGGGCATGCAATCATGCATAGGAAATGAGCTGGTGGTCGGTCGTTTCTTGGAGGTTTGACTTCTTGCAAGTTTTCTAATCATTCCTCTCCGGGGTATAAGGTTGAGGAAAGAAACGTTGTGCAAGGGTCCTGGGTTGTTTGGTTGCAAGGTGCGAGTCTCAAAAAAACGGGAAAATCCACGGAATGGGCAGAGTACAGTGGAAAAAAAACTTGGGAGAGGGGAGGGAAAGGAGGTGAAGTTGCAGGAGTGGCTGACGGAGCATGCAGGAATCTCACGTCTTTTTCCATATCCCCTTCCTTGAAGGAATTCTTCATCCCTTTGTCGTGTTTCCAGCTCTCTTTTTGATTAGTCAAAACCGAAACATCAACTGAAGTATCCTACTGGAACATCTGCAGTTCCAAGTCGTTGATAATCACAGTTTCATTAAATATATGATTCAGAAAAAAAAAAGTAAACTCATGGAGTGTTAGTGGACTCCACAGTGAAAAAATATTACGACATCGAAGTGAGCATGTGGCAATATAAATGTTACAGTGAATCTGCGTATATGCAGAGAGTGCGCGTGATGAAGATTCCTTACCGGCCGTTTTCAACTCGTTCGGGATGATGCATCGGACAAAATGTGGGGCAGTGCTACGAAGGGTGGTCATCAGGTTGTTCAGCTGCTCCTTTATGGTGCACAGGCAGGAAAAAAACACAGAAGAGAAGGTGGACAAGAGGGAAAAGAACATGCCATGCCGTTCTTTGGGGAGGGTCTTCCACTCCCTATCCCTGCTTTCTCGATTCCGATTTTAGAAATCATGGGGTCACGTGTACCAGATAGCTTTAACTTGGGTTTCTTTCGCAATATGGTCAGAAAAGAATTTCGCTGAATTAGGCTAGTTTCATTCTCATGGATATGATATCGAATCGAATGAAGTTGATCTGGTACATGTTATCCAATGTTTCTCTTATTATGTGCTCTTGATAGAGCAGTAGAATACATCAATCGAGAAAACAGGAGGAACTCCTCATTCTTTGTTCTGGGAGGGATTCACATGCGAAAGGGCAAAGGGCTTTCTATCTGCTGTTGGGGGTCCTTGTACGTAGGCCTAAAAACTCTTTCAAGCAGTTGGGAAAGGGAGGGGGCTGGAGCTTCTCTATAAGCCCTCTTACCAGCTTGCTTCACTTCATTGGGGATAATGCAGCGAATGAAATGCGGGGCTGTGCTCATTAATGTGCTCATGAGCTTGCTTAGCTGTTCCTGTGGATGCAGGTGGGAGAAATCCGGGGTCAATCACTAAATGCATTCCAAAAAGGGGCAGAAAATGTGGGAAAATGCCTTGCAGGAAGGAAAAACCTTGCAGGTGGGAATGACCTAACAGGTGGGAGTAACCTTGCAGGTGGAACTATCCTTGCAAGTGGGAGTAACCTTGCAGGTGGAACTATCCTTGCAGGTGGAAATAACTTGCAGATGGGTATAACCTTGCAGGTGGAAATAACTTGCAGATGGGTATAACCTTGCAGGTAGGAATAACCTTGCAGGTGGAAGTTACATGCCATAAACCTTGTTTGGAGGAAATCCGAACAATATGAAATCTTCTATGCATCTGGGGGGGTTCATGCTCTTCAATATTTCATGACGAGGCGAGGTCCCCTTAAAAACGTGCGAGGATTTGGTGCTCATGTGATTTAGACAGATCTTTCAGGGAAAGGGACGGGTTGAAAAAACTCCATGATGCGGGACGGGGTTCCTTGCCAAACAAAACTTCTTCCCTTACCAGCTTGTTTTAATTCATTCGGAATAATGCATCGAATGAAATGCGGAGATGTTGACATCAAAGTTGACATGAGTTTGTTCAGCTGCTCCTATAATGGAGGAAGGTTTCACATTCTGTGAGCAGTGGGAAGTGCGAATTTTGAGTTGAAGGGGATGGGAGGGCTTCTGAGTGATTTGTTCCTTCTTGCCTTTGGATCGATATGATTAAGATTCCAGTGCCGAAAGTTCAGCTGAAGATGAAAATCATATCGATCCAAGCATCAATAGCAATTAAGGCTGCAACGACATTTTATTCGTACCATCGTTTGAACCGTAGAGTCGGCGTTCACATTGAACCGTAGAGTCGGCGTATTTCAGAAAAAAAATTTTCTGAAAAGATCCCCGATTCGGATGGCTTATATGAATGATTCAAACCTAGACCGTGAATATGCAGGTAAAATGATTTTAAAATGCCGTAAGAAGATTTCAGGTGTGAATGAGCGGAATATCTATATATCTTGTAATATCGATAATAAAAAATGTAATATCATTGCAGCCCTAGTAGCGATACAGCACAAAATCAGCTTATTTCTATGAGGCAAGTTTCCCGTGCAATTTGATGCATTTCTTTTGCATGATCATTAACCTTTGAGCTTCAGCTTTCATGAATAATATGCTCGGGAAACTTACAGAAATCTTGTGGATGTTTCGAAAGAGGAAAGTCTCTGAAGTGTTTCTGTTATGGACTTATTAAAAAAAAATTTTTAAGAACAACCATTCGATTATGGACAATTGCTTTCGAGACATCCCGCACAACCCATGCACACATCTACGAAGAGAAAGAGCCGACGGAAAGAGTCGAAGGAAAAATCTGTTCCGTCGGGATAGAGAACTGACAGCGAGAGCTGCATGCAAGGATGAGAAAAGAACTGAAAGGTAGCAGGCCTTTTCCGGATGGATTCTTTGGTCACTTTATCCCTCTTCACTTGATTTAATCTTTCAGTACTATTGCAATCTTTGAAACTGAATTGGGGTCTACTAATGTATCGGCATTTCATGTATGGACTTTCATGATTAAGTAGCTTATCACGAGTAAAAAAAAAAGTATGGGTGGAACTAACAAATAAATAAAAATAAACAAGTACAACCGAGTCAGGTATGGATACAATTTTTGATTCTAATGAAAATGAGACATATTGGTGGTCTTTGTTGCCATCTGCGTCGTTGTTTTTTGCTCATGATGACAAAGAGGATACCTTTGGCTCGGTATTGACGCTAAGTTGATTATTCCCTCTTATTTCTTCCTATGCCACTATGGGGTGAAAGAAAGGAGTATATACTGATTTGGGCCTTGTAATTTGAGGAAGTTATTGCAAAACCACTGCCCTTCTTCTATCATATCTTTGAAGAAACATTGTCATGTTTAGAAGGGTTAGAAAAGAAGAGATGAAACGAATCGAGACACCGAACTGCATGGAGAAGCATGAAACTCGGTGTCTTGGTGAAAAAGGACACACGAGGAAGAGAAGTAGTTCAGAATTAGCCGTCTGCGGATTAAAACTATGAAGTGAAAACAAGAAAGACTTTGCAGATCGAGGCTGCTGGGATTTACCCTGTACAACGCAGACACCGTCTGGAAAGCTGACCCCTTCTGCCGCTTTCCACCTAGAAATCCAGTTATCAACAAGCATGTCAATAGGTTCACGTCATCAAAACCGTAAGGCATTCACGGTCATACAGTATTTTTTACTTGAATCCTCTGTCGTAATCTTTGCACAAATACAGCAACAGATTGTAAGTTTGACGTATGATAACGTTGGAAAGTCGGTTCCCAGGTTGCACGGCATAATCCATCAACGTATGCCCAATTATGAGTAATTATGAGTAATTAACCACTTATGAGTTAGGATGGCTAGTTAGTTTTGTGGATCGATCCAGTTGGTGTCTGATGAACCTCAAAAAATTAGTTCCTTCCCGTTTAAAACATTTCAAGATTGTATTCTATGAGGAATCGAAGGGTTACCTTTGCCACCTGCATCGGCACCGCCAGACTGGCCTGGATGATCCGCAAAGATCTCAACAAGAAGTTTGTTGCTTCCCTTCTTGTATTGGTCGACAACGGTGTCGTTCAGAGGATCCTTGTTCTTCTCGAGCCACCCCGTTAGGTTGTAGGGCACCTGGGATTCATTGCACAGCGACTCATACATTTCTGAAGCTGTGGAATGGAACCCGCGAAACATCAAACGATTGGACGCTGAGACTCACGGTTCCGGCATAGTGAACGATGGCGAAGTGTGCCTCAGCACAGCCTGGTTTTGGTGGTTTCGGCTTGACAAAGTTGGGAGATTTTCCCAAGTGGTTTGTCTTCAACTTTTCTTCAAAGGTCTTGTCCGTGGCCTTGGGGAACATACTCTCTTCCTCCAGGATGGACATAATACCCATAGGCTGCAAACCCCCAACCAAACAAAAATGCTTTAAACTCCGTCTCGACTGTTTATACCAATTCAAGCCTAGTGTCTTCTATCTAATTTTCAATTAGCAGATACAGGTTGGCTGAAAAGTGGACATCTGATTTCAGGCATGAATATCTTTAAAATGGCAGAAGACATGAGCAAAACTTAGTGATTTCCTATGAAGATTTTCCCTTGGTATCTTACTAATTATTGAAATTAAGTCGACGGGCGTTGTTGATTTGCAGAAAATTACAAAAAGCTTAAAAATTCACGTTTGCCATCGCTGTCCTCTTAGTATTCAGGAATTTTGCTTGCAAAATATCTTTGACATCAAAAAGTGATGCGCCATCCTCCATATAAATTATTTGTTCTCTATGGTTCTAAGTGTTTTTGCCAAATTCGTGTCTATAAAGACACGAATGTGTCTTTATAGTCTTTACAGACCTTAAGACTGCTGTCAAAGGAAAACTTTTTCTTTTGAAAGAAATCAGAATTTCAATAGGGAACTGCCTTCTTTCTGGCATTCTCAACTGTTGTTGAAGGTTGCCTTCCCCTGACTTATTTTACAAGCACCGATAGCTCTGGAATTTTCAAATTGAATTTAATATATCTTTATACAAGTCTACCTGTAATCTAAATTTGTTTACTAAACATCACCAGTGATATGCAAACACTGCACTGATGAAGCTGAGGATATTTGCTATAATTTCCCTATATGATCTACTTATGACTATTGCTGAAAGGAATAAAAACAGGATATTTTTATTTGCTTTAGCAGCAGTTTGAGAATATTGCAACACTGACACAGTGCTTCAACACTTATGGCATTGACTGCTGCTGAAGCAAACAATATCGATAATCGGCAGTGCACTAGGTGGTTTGGAGATTCATGCAATGAAGACATGCAGGCATGCAATATAGGCTAAATATATGGGGAGGAAAATCATGCCTATAGATCTGCGAAGACTGTGCCTATAAATCTGCGCAAGCTGTTCCTATAAATCTGCGTCTTCTCTGATGGACGATGCAGTCTCTTCTCATCTGAAATATCTTCCATGTGCGACTAAATCGCTTTCTATCGCTCGCACAAAATCTCAAGGTTTGTTTTTTTTTCTTTACCTTTTCAATCAACTCAATGCAGGCTTGAAGATCAAGCCCAAAATCAATGAAAACCCAGTCGATCCCTTCTCGTTTGTATTCCTCTTGCTCCAGCACAAACATGTGGTGGTTGAAAAACTGCTGGAGCTTCTCGTTTGTGAAATTGATGCACAGTTGCTCGAAGCCATTGAACTAACGAGCGGGGTCGAAGAAACAAGAACAAAAGAGAAACAAAGGAAATAAAACATAAATAAGGTGGTGGGGTACTCTAAAATTCGGGCAGCAAGCAAACTTCCTCTCTGAGCAGGGTCTCTCGACTAGTGATAATTTTGGATTTGGGGAGGGAAAAAATTAAAATAATGACTTAAAAGTCCTATTCCTGATGTGCATTGGTTGTCGAAAGACTCTGCCATGAGTCATCGAGAGGATGAGTGGAGCTATTCTAAGGTATTCTCTTTCCACGGGGACTCGGTTGGGGACAGTTGGGTGTATGTGCTTGCAGTCTCTAGATGTGAAAGTGCAGTGTGCATTATACCTTCTCGATGAGCTCGATGCAGGCTTGCAAGTCCATACCAAAGTCGATAAACGTCCATTCGATACCCTCACGTTTGTACTCTTCTTGTTCGAGCACAAACATGTGATGGTTGAAAAACTGCTGAAGTTTCTCGTTTGTGAAGTTGATGCAAAGCTGCTCAAACCCGTTGAACTAACGGAGTGGCGAGGGGGGAGACAGAAAATGATAGGGGAAACCAAGAAAAACCAAAATTATGATGAAGCAATGGGTTTCCTTCATCATAGGGGATAAGGGCAGGGTTCATTTCAGTGGTCATTTCAGGGTACGTGCATAAACAAATATGCAACATAACTTCTCGGTGGCATGTACACCGAGAACGTCAGATGGCCGGAAAGGGGTGGGGGCTGGTGGCACTCTCAAACATTCAGGTTCGGAAGGTGGTTCTTTCGCATGGTTGGGGAAGAGACAGGGGGAGAAACAGGCTGCATTCGGGTTTTTTTTTTTATCTACCTTTTCGATGAGCTCGATGCAGGCTTGTAAGTCCATACCGAAGTCGATAAAGACCCATTCGATACCCTCCCGTTTGTACTCTTCTTGCTCCAATACGAACATATGATGATTGAAAAACTGCTGCAGTTTCTCGTTGGTGAAATTGATGCAAAGCTGCTCGAACCCGTTGAACTGTAATAGTCGGAGCATGAACGGGGGGGAATATAATTAAAGGTGGGAGATGACGATGAAACGGGGCGTTTCCTCCCGGCTGTATTTTTTTTCGGAAAAGAAGGGATGGGGTCGGTCGCAGGACATTCTCCTTCCTTCGAGAAGTGCCATCGAGGCTTCGTCGTAATTGTGATCCTTGACACATGAGTACATGGATACAGCGAAAACGGTTAGAATGCTGAGGTTAGGAAACCACGACGTCGAAAGCAGATCAGAAAGTTGATCCAATAACAATTCTCAAATTACCTGATGAATTTTCTTCCGCTGCATAATATATTTTTGGATATATCATGTTAGGCCTAAGGCGACGAAAGTGAAAAGAAATAAAGCAAAGTAAGAGACAGTGAGCCTGGTTTTTGCTGTTGCTAAGTGAAGGTGAGTGAGAAAGTGCGTGGCGGAAGTGATGAATTTCACCTTTTCGATCAATTCGATACAGGCTTGCAAGTCCATGCCGAAATCGATAAATGTCCATTCGATTCCCTCTCGCTTATACTCTTCTTGTTCCAGTACGAACATGTGATGGTTAAAGAATTGCTGCAGCTTCTCGTTGGTGAAGTTGATGCAGAGCTGTTCAAAGCTATTGAACTGAAAGGAAGAGTGCGGGATTGTCTCTCTATCCAGGGGGTCCGGGATTTGGGTGGAAGGACATCCAGGATCAATCACCAAAGTCACTCAATCCACCAATCAATAATAATAATAATTCTTAAGGAGATCAGTTGCTCATTTAATTTCAGCGAGGGTTGAATTGATCATCTCCGTTTATCTCTATCTATACCAGAAAATTGTCATTTAATAATTATTCACCTTCAAAATTCAATTAGAGTTTTCTACAACGTGAAAAGTAATTTGAAGGGGACATGTAAAATCTTACTCAAATTATCTGGACAATATCATGAAAAATTGGCAGAAAATAAGAATGAAAGAAAGTTTTTGTTCCTCGCTGTGTTCAAAGTGACAACGAATACTAGTGTTTATCTTTTGTCTCAATGGCTATTCAAATTTAAATTTGAAAGAAAGGAACTCTAAATAGTCATTGACGAAACGGTGATATTTAAATAATGTGAGGGAAGTTGTGAAGTAACATACGTCGAAGATCTCGAAACCGGCAATATCCAGCACACCGATGAAGTGCTGTCTCTTCTGTTGAGTGTCCAGAGTTTCGTTACACCTCTTGACGAGCCACTTGAAGACCCTATCATACATGGCCTTGGACAGGGCACCCACCGAATATGAGCACTGCAGAATCCCATTCATTTTGAATCATGGGTCCAGGTGTGATACTCAAAGTCATAGACATACTACTTCTCTCAAGTGCTGCTCCTCTTCTTGAATTGCACTATCTGAGCGGTAGAAAATGCTTTTAGATCGGATTTAGCTTGAATTAAAAGCTTAGAATCTTCGAGCTTATATTATTCTATATCCTTATGAAATTCCATGCAGTGAAGATATTTACACTCTGTTTATTTGCGTCTTTTTCAATAAGTTTGCCAGTTAAACCTCCTGAAATTAAGCCTCCTACCGTGTTTTGAAACTGTAGAGGTAACAATCTCCTTAAAAAGTAATTCGGAAGTATGGTATTTAAAAAGATACCAGGAAAATATTAATATATTCCTGCAAAGTATTTAGTTATTTAAATACAAGCACAAATGAATTCAAGTCCTTGAGCAACACTGAATGCTGACATCACTCATAGTTCATGTAAAAAATTGGCAGAGTCCTCACCTGATCCTTGTTTCTCCCCTGCGTGACGAATTCGTTACCGACCTTGATCTTCGGCTTCAGAAGGTTCCTGTACAGCTCTTCGCCCTCCAAACCCAGCAGGATGGCAGCGTTCATTCCCGCCTACAGGGAGGAAACAGCCGCATACGTTTCACTCATTGCTCAGGCCAGAAAGTGGGTTCAGAAGGATGCAGTAGGAATGATGTGTACCTCAGTGCCGTCTGCCTCAGCCTGTTCCTCTCGGCCTCTCTGCTTGAACTTCATCTCACCCATGTGCATGACAGCAGCCGTGACCTTGTAAACATTGTCCTTCTCCTCTTGGGTAAAGCCCAACACGTCGAAGGCAGTCTGGAGCGAATCGTATAAATATCCGTTTAAAAAAAAAATTATAACCCAGGTGACATGGATTGAGAGGGACGAATGTCATGCAAAGCCAAAATAAGTAAATCTCGATGGAAGTGAAATCAAGCGGCACAAACAGATGAAGCCTCACATTTCTGAAGACGGTCAAAAGCCTGCGTGAGTGAAAAAAATATATATAAGAAAAAGGCCTCGAAACAAAAACGTGAAAGCGTCTGTGGCTGGTGTTTGGTGCGGATGTCAGAGAAAAAGCAACGAAACGAAAAAGACGCAGATGTTGCTATTTTCAAAGGACTTACGCTGACAATTTCGAATTCCTCGCCATCGTTCACCCCAGGGATAGTTGTTTTCCCTTGACTTACGTAATGGTATTTCCTGATATCGCGTCCGAGCAGAAGTTGCTCTGCAAAATCGAAGGGATGTTACACAATGGGAAACGTTCCTAGGGGGTACAGGCAATGAACACACTCTCCCTAGGGGAAAACAGGGGATTCATTCGTATAATGGAGGGGATTGGGGAATACAAATGCAACACTCGAAGGTCAACGCAGGGGAAAACCTTACTATTCTAGTCAGGTTTACCATATGGGTTGGGGGAAAATTGAACAATCAATTCTTCCTATGGGGCGTCAAATGAGGGGAAGGCTGCTTCATTCCCATTCGAGGGGGTCTGGGTATCACAACTTGGACTATTTTATAAGTTGGGGTCAATCAAGGGAAATGAGTTCGCGATCAAGAAGTTCAATCACGCGTTCTCAGTCACTAGGGTCGTTGTAGTGTCTCAAGGGGATTCAATACCTGCATGAACACGAGTCAAACATGCAAACGTAAGGATGGTTTTCATTCCATCCTGGGTCTCTTCGTAAATGGGTGTGTGCGTTGATGCGAATGGAAAATTAGGCATGCAGGAACGAAAGGAAGGACCATGCATAGCAGGAAAAAATGGGAAAACAGGATAATATCGAATATTCTGCGCTGGTATCAGGAAAAAGCGGCGAGTCGTTGAGAAATGTGAGCCTTCTTTATTTTCAGTTCGTGGCTGATAAAACGTATAAGTTCGGGCAACGCAGCAGAGGCATGCAGGTTAGTTTCCTAATGTTCATACCGGTCCTCCACTATGTCGAGCATAATTTTTCATCATACTTAATCTTCCTTCTCCTTACGTGCCAAAAAGGGATGCATTCATGGCGATTCCGCAAGGTATTACTTACATCAGTCAATTGCAATTCTTCACCGTCGTCCATATTGGGAATCGTAGTTTTACCTTGGCTTACATAAAAATAGTCAGTGATATTGTCAGTCACCCTCAGCATTCCTACACAAATGGAGGAAAGGAAACAGCGAGATACAGTTTTAGGGCATTATTCGAGCGCACGACAGCAACAGCAGGTGACATTATTGAAGCGTTATAAACCATGATATGCGGAAACAACCCACATATCAGTCCCAAACTACTCTTCAGTATGACCAGCATTATTCAACATCGATCAAGTCAGAGGAAAAAATAAATAAAAGCTTGATATAAGCGACAGAAAGCAACAAAAAAAAGGGAAAGAAAATATATTATGAAGCAAATGTTATATGATGCGATAGTATCGTGTGCAGGTTTAAATGATCATGAGTCTACGTTTTGTGGTCACCACTCATGGTAGACCACTTACGTCGGTGATATCCAACTCTTCGCCGTCATCTACGTTGGGAATCGTGGTTTTCCCTTGAGACACGAAGTGGTATTTGTGTATATCAGGATCCAAATGACACATTTCTGAAAAGTGATCAAAGCACCTGTCCATCAATAAATGCTCTATTTTGGCCCCGAAACCTCCCTTTTCCCAGGACTGCTGCTTGCAGGGACTGTCCTTGCAACGTTGACTCAACCATGGGCTTATTCTGAAAGGAAAATTGTATTACCTTTCAAGTGCGGAAGTCTTCCAGACATGATTTGGTAGAAGATATGGTATGATCTCTCCAAGGGCTGCTGGGAGATCACACGAGCCTTCTCCAGCAGATCTATCGACGAAGAGACAATAGCGATGAAGTTATTCGGTCTGAAGACCGCAGTTAGAAGTACAATATACAGTATGCTGTGTATGGCGTAAAATGCTCACAGGTTTCAATGTCAGCACCGGCCAGTTTTCCAGAGGGCCCGAAGTGAATTCGGATGAATTTACCCTATTGGAGGGAGAAAGTCGTGGATGGATGCTGAGAAACGTGACTAAAACGGGAAAAAAATGTTGAAAGAGAAGGAAAGGCTGCTCACGAATCGAGATGAGTTGTCATTACGCACAGTCTTGGCGTTACCAAAGGCTTCCAGTACGGGGTTGGTCTGCACGACCTGGTCCTCCAAGTTCCCCTACATTTCGGCCCAAAAGCACGCATCAGTCGTTTGATCGGATCAAAAAAGGAAGCTACGGCGGCATAAAAATGACTTTTAACAGGGCGTCTCATGCAATAGGTACTAGGTATACCAAGCATGCCAAGCTTTCCATGCAAGGTGAGGATCCGACGAACATGCTTGGGTATAATACAGCCTTTCAGTTCAGGTTTTTTTACTTCTTAAAGGATATTGCGTTTTCGCGACCATCTCGGTCCACGAATGGGTGTCAAGCATAAAAGGGTTCTCACGATGCAATTCCTCAGGCACAAGGATCTCAAGATGACTCATATTTGCAGGGGTTGTCGAGCAATGGGTTTCAAGGAGGTACACTCTTGCAAAAAATATTGAGGGAAAGTCGAGGGTAAAACTCTTCCCTAATCCACGCAAAGACAGAATAAAAGGGTTCACGGTACAAGATACGTTTGATGCAGGAGTGGGGTCGGGGGTTCTCAACATACTCAGGGGTTCTCTCTTGCGTTCCTTCACAGGTAATATATGCAGGGGGTCACGAGCACCAGGGTTTCTCAAGATACTTTCTTGCCCTCTGGGGGTATGCGACAAACCCAAGGCAAATTAACAATATACTATGTCCGTACCTTCTTTGGTGCTTCCCCTTCCTTGGGCTTTTTCGTTGAGGCACCGACATTAGCAAAGTATGCAATTACTTTCTTCGTGTTCTCAGTCTTACCGGCACCAGATTCACCTCTGCGTTGGGAAAGAGATATCGGGTTAGATATTGTACAGTGCAAACAACATATGAATCCGGTCACACCCGAACGAAATGAGTGCCAGGACTACTCGGCAGTGGAAGCAATAAGCCTTTGTTTTTGTCATACTGTGAAATCCAGTTCTCTCACTTTCCGTTCTGAGAAGCGATTGGTTAGCGCCACAACAACGAAAACTGATGAAATTATTTTGTGTACAAATATTTTATATGCGGATAACTTACACCTGAGGAAAACTGAGGCTTTCCCTTTGTGGGTCGGGCAATATTTGCAAAGTACTGAATTACTTTCTTGGTGTTTTCCGTTTTTCCTGCTCCAGACTCCCCGCTGCACAGTATAGATCATAAAATCATCACTGAAGACTGAAAGACTCTCAATAAAGTTTAAAAATTAGTTCTGATATTCTTGGGAGTTCATCGACGTGTTGGCGTGACAGCATGCTTTTCGGGTCCGAAAATGTGAACAGAAATAATCGTGACGAAAATATAGATATCAACTAAATCAGACTGGAAAACATCTTTTCGACCGTCCACGATGAATTTCCAGGAAAATTAAGAAGACTGTGGACAAAGCACTCATTCCATCTCAATTCAGCAAGAAAAGGGATGGGGGTGAACGAGCATAGCATATAATGCACTGAAAAACCCTCTGTTCACCATTATGACTTAGACCTTTTGCTCTGGCGAAACTGTTACCATAAGATGATGGTCACGCTGATCAGTACAATAGAGATAATCCCGATCTAGGACGAAAATACTAATGACGATAGAACAGTTGATTGGTTTCGTATGGTTCAAGGTATTGATTGTTTAGTATTCTTCCTGAAATGGACTGCCCGAATCAGTGCTGAGAAGTTACCTCTGCTGATGACACTTACGTCACCCACTGTGTATCCAAGTCCTCGTGATGGTTTCATATTGCAGCCTTAAGCATATGTGCAAGCGCCGTTTCAACTTTTGTCTTAGTTCAAGGCCTCGACCAGTTAGGCCTGAATTTTATATGACCATGTTAATTGATATTGAAATTCGGAAAAAAAATTAGGAGGCTGTATCTCTACTGTTATTGTCATCGTTGAGGATTAGGATTCGTCAAACATCGTACATCAATGCTACGATGATTAACGATAGAAGTATCATTCCTGTTCTCGCTATGATCGTAAGTCGACAGCTCTGATGATCATAGCAATGAAAGCCATAAGATGATAGTGTGGACAGGGCGTATCCATCGTCCCTACATTAACGGCTGTCGTGCCAGCTCCTGTGATTCATCCCCCCCCCCCCATCCCTGTCTCTGCCCGACCCCTCCCGTCCCTTGACTTTATGAGTTGACCTTATATGACATTTCTGCTCGAGATGACGTCACATCTGGCTCATAAGGAGAAACTTAGGTCTTGCTATGGAGACCAAGATCCATACCGAAAATCAGTCGACAGAGATCATTAAAAAAAACTTACGTGATCAACATGGACTGGTTCTCTCGGTCTGTTTGGAAATACGAATAGGAGGATATTCGTAAGTTCTCTCTAGCAAGTTTGGAGGATATTTTCGGGATAAGTTATTAAACTTACTGTTCAACATGTCGTTGTAGGCACCGTCAGAGATGGCGAAGATATGAGGCGGGACTTCATTCCTCCTCTTTGATTTGTAGATTTGAACCACCCGGTTCGTGTAGATCGGAAATCTCTTGTATGGGTTGATGGCCACACAGAACAGCCCTGAGTAGGTCTACAGTACACGCATTTCCTCCCCTTAACAATTGCCAATTTCGAAGATACGACGATTGAATTTTGTGCTTTAAGTACTCACGTAGATGAGTTTGAAGTAGTAACGTTGTTTGAGGTTGTGCAAGACAGACGCGTCATTCAAGTAGGTCAAATTGGACATGTCCTCGCACTTCTCGAATTTCGGGGGGTTCACCTGCTGCAGCAGGTCTTTCTTGAGCGTCTTATCCTGTAACGATCGCCGGAGGAATCACGTAAAATCAGGTTTGTGTACGATTGCTTTTGCTTGAGAGAAAATTAATTTGTCTTACTTCTCCACCAGGCAGGCCGACGGTGGCCATGTCCCCCTTAGTTCCCTTGAGCTCCCCAAGAACGAAGCCGTCCTTATCATCGGGGACCCAGCATGCTTTCTTGGCATCATAGGGCTTAGTTTGGTCCTTTCGCTTTTGTTCCAAGGATATGAACAAGTATTCAGTGGGGTCAGGATCATCCCCTACCTGCTTTGGATCCTTCGGCATCTCTTACCGTTTCCTCGCACTCTCTTATTTATGAAAAGAACCTCGCAAACACGTAGTGTGCGGGCTGGGAAGTTACCTGCGATGAAAGACATTACAACGTTTTGTTATCCCATAATTAGCAGGAAAATTTCGTGTAAGTGCTGGCGGCTATAAGTGGTGGCTGGTACATATTGACATCGGCACTTCTGATGGGGAAAAGAAAGAAGAAAACGTTTTTGGGAGGGCACGAAGGGATCGAATTTTCAATGTCTTATCGATGGTTGTGATTATCTATGGCGGGCTAGCAGCCTCAGAAATTCAAGTCCTGACGTCATGGTGCTGCTTCCCTCTTATTTTTGGGGATCAAGACTCCTGCATTGAACAGTTTTAATTCATGCGAAGAGAACATCTGAGTGGCGTCAGTGCAGCGCCAAAAAGTTTTGGAACTGCGATAAAAGAGACATAATACGGAAAACGGAATGGTGTGCCGATGGGTACATAGTAGCTGAACTACGTAGCATGGAACCACTGACGTTTCCAAATTAGCTCACTGGTTATGATCTGAACATCATTCCAATGAAGGTACAATAGGACTCGGTGGTCAAGCCGCATTGACGCAAACATACTGTACAAACGAACACATTTTAGACAGTCCGGACAGATAAGCTGGACTGATTCACTGATACTTATTGGTCTATTTGAAAAGTTAGAGGATTTTGACCACTGTATAAGCTTCAGTTCAGTTCGAGCACGTCGGTTATGTGTGCTGAAGTCGGAACTCACTTCATTAGATGATGTATAGACGTTGTTTTATGCTGCACCTGGAATACTGAATACTTTATACTGGTACGTAAGTTCCAGCAAGGCTCCCTTTCGTTGACATTGGGATGATATATTGTCTCTGTCGAGATATCATGCGACGCAAACGACCATGAACGACAGGTTCATGATTATGTTGCCTTCAGATTATGATCCGAATGATCGAGTCCGTGCCTTCCTCTTCTAAATTGGGATAAAATCTGGAATCTGGTGACATTCTTAATCACGAAGTGAAACAAAAAACCAGGCACTCCTAACTGGATGGCACTCAGCGGAACTCACATGAATGCTACGTCCGTCCACACACGCGCACACTTTCGTTCTGTATTTCATTCCACGGCACTGTTGGAGAGCACGGAGAGCACACTCGGTTTGAATGTGACATTTCTAACTTGGACTAAGATTTTGATTCAGGGAAACAGAACTGGTAAATGGGAAAGAACCTGGAGACAAGAACACTTAGCGGGCAAGTGCGCAAGTAGGCTCGGCATTTGCCAGGGACAAGGCAAGGCCGTGACGTTTCTTCTGTTCCGTCCAGGACAGGAAGCGCGAGAAAGGCCAAGAATTTTGGCACTCTCTCTCGTGCCCAAAATTAGATGCCAGGCACCTGCCTTGACGTCATCCTTCCCTTCATTCCCCTACCTCTCCATATTTTTCTTCCTCAATTAATGTTAGGGTGGCATAGAACCTTCTATGTCGGATTCCTAATATGAAAATCCGCCAAAAGAAAGGAAGACATCCTGAAAGAACTCAGCCTGCGTAGGATCCCCCGGGCCATATCACAAAGTAACGTGAAGAGACTGAGGAAATCGGGGCCACGACATCGGGGAATTCGCCTCCCTTCTCCCACACAGAGGGGGAGAGAGGAAGACGACGTGATCTCGCACTTCCACATTGAGAATATAAGACGGGTCCGGTACGAAAGTTGCACTGCCAAGAATGAAAGAGTGAATGGAAGACAGAAAGGCGCACACTAGATGCGTTCGGGTGGGGCCTCTGAGACCATTCTGGTCCTCAGAATAAGCAGTGCTGGCTATTTGCATCTCTGTCTTCCTGGCTCCCACCCTCAACTTCGTCCGCCAATCAGACACCTCATCCACCTGTGACGTCACCACCTCCCTTTTTAGGCCGTTTCGGTATGCAAAGCCAAGAGTAGATGAGATGGATTCTCCCCTATATTCACACACACCTTTCTACTTTGGACCGAGTACTTTTGTACATGATTCCAACCGGTATTTGGGCCACTTTCCATGATTTCAACTCTGTAAACATCAGGACCAGCCATAGGCGGAGTGAGAAAAAGTGATATTGGGCTAAGGGTTATGATGTATGAGGGGCAAGCTTTGATATATTACTGTAGGATCGACACGACGAAAAAGGATGCAGACCTATGACCTATGGCTTATTCTTATTCCTGGGGGAAGACGGCACCTCCTCTTGATCTGTGTATTTTCTTCTCATAACGAGGTGCCAAGCCAATAGAGGGAATGCAAATTGCTCACTTCTGACCTCGAGAAAAGGGGAGGACTTTTCCTAGACGTTAGAACTTTAGAGCCAGGTGGCGGTTTCCTCCTTCTTGAAAGGAAATATTGTTATAACGAAGAGCGTGGATCTCCTCTAAGGGATTCCATCTGAATAGCATGGAACTGCCAACATTAAGAAAATTCTGTAAACGAGATCGATGAGGTTGAATGCTTTCTGCAACTGCTTTGAGTTACTCTCATTCTAGTATTTTTCTGAGTTTGTAGAAAATTTCTTGCCCTCTAGGTCTCAGGACTGGATTTTTTATTTATTGTGTTAGCCATGGCAGGAATCCGTCCTTTGCGATTTATTTGTGAGATTCTGGAGGACCCTGAAACGATTCCGTCTAAGAAATTGCATCTCATCAAGGAATATCAGGGAGAGATACTACAAGCCTTAAGGGGGAATCTTCAGAGCGCCCCTTCTTATCTTCGTATCCTCCTCGGTATAATTCTACTTATCTCAGCCAGATTTCATATGAAAGAGCATACAACCTCCATAGAACTTTTTTTTCTCTTCTCAGGTTTGTGTTTGAACGGAGGGAGTTCATCGGTAGAAGCGAATGGATGTAAGCTGCACAATATCATATCATACTGTCATTCTCAAGTGGTTGATGAAGGTAGTTCGAGCCGTGAATTTTCTCCCCCCTATGCCCTGTGCCAGATTTGGTTGAAGCCTTGCTGGGGTTGGAACGCGAAGATCTGGTGATGGACGTGCTGGCGTTCTTTTCGTCCTGCGTGAGTTTTTTTCTCCTCTCCTCCCATTACCCCCATCCCCCCCTTTTTGTCATTTCCTACTTAATCTTCCTATTCACATCGGACATTTTCCTCAAAGGAATACCCAAGTTTCCTCTCAATCAAGAAGGCTCTATTCATATATAGGCTGAAAACCTACAGCTGAAATATTTCCCTTACAGATAAAAAGAGAAAAGAATGAGTAATAAAGTATGACGGAATGATGGAAATATTGAGGAGGTGGTCACTGAATAGTAATGGGGCCTGGGGGAAAGAAGACGGAAACGGGAGTGAAGGGAAAAGGGGAGGGGAAAAGGGAGATCTCCTGCCCCATCCCGGTCCCCATAAATGGCAGGTAGGCTAGATTCCATAGAACCTGGCGCTCTCTCTCTCGCTCCTTCCCACCCCCCTCCTCCCCCCCCGTCTCTCTTCTCTCGTTCTAGCCTCTCTCCTTCTCTCTCTCTCTCTCAAGTGATGTGTGCGTGTGTGTGTGTATGTGTGCCTGTGCTTGTATTTGGCATCGTTCCAGGTCTCTTGCCTCTCTCTCCAGAGCCTAGATTGTATTTTTGCGTGCCCTAGCCCCGGCCTATCCCTTCCTTCAAGCATAAAAATAGTCTCCTCCTTTTCTCGCTCTCGATATTGCAACCTGGCCAAGGTTTCCTAGCCACGAGGCCGTGGAATCCTTCTACCGGTTTTTCGTCAGTCTTTCAATTGTCTAGGAAGTGGTGCCTACAATTTGAATGCCTTTTTTTTTTTAGTAAACGGTCCTTGAGGCAGTTTTTTAAAAAAGAAATTGAATATCAATAATGGATTATTCTGTGAACCTCACGCTACTTTAGGTCTGGTTTCGATGGTAGTATCCCGCTGTCTGCTCATGGGAATTGAAGCGATGAATAAAGACCGATAGAGTTGTCCAGAAAAATATTTATGGTCCCTGATGGACATCCATTAAAGTGTTGCTGAGAAACTTTCCTGCTCGCTTGTGGGATAGTGGTATTTGAAGGACTCCCTAGATATAGAATTTCGAGCGAACCTAGTTTCAAGCAAGACATCGTATCACCAATCCGTCTGCATTCGCTTTTTCGAAAGCAGATTGAGTGGATTATATTGAAAACACCATATTGCATTTGGATATTTCGAATTCTCTGTAGTGCTGAAATCTTTGTTTTGTCGCAATATCTTTTCTCTTTTGAGCTTGTGCCCATCTGCGAAACGCTGAAAAAGATCCAGCGGGAGGAACTTCGGGGAAAAGTTCCACAGCTTCAGTTATGTTATCACATTGTTACGTTCGTTGCCTATCAAAAGAGTTGGACGTGAGAAAAGTGAGGAAGAAAAAAGAAAATAGGAGGAAGAAGTGTGTCCCTCAGATCGAAAAGCTCCCCTTACCATCGGTTATAATTGGCTTGAAATGTCCCTTGGTATGAAGTTCGCGTGATTGATCTCCATATCTATGGCAAGTCCACAAATGTTCAAGCGTCCTGCTCAATTTGAAGAATTTGTTGTGCGTTGCTTTTTTTTTATTGGCAAAACTGGGTGTTAAGAAGAATGGGGTCATGAGAGTTTTCCAAAGAGGACTGAGTGATTAGCTCTGTTTGCAACCTCATCAGTTCCTTGGCACACTTCACCCCGCCGTCCCTGTCCTCTTGTGTGCTCAGAAAGGATTCCATAATTCCTCTTTTTTCCTTCTCGTGTAGTTTCATTTTACCTCCGAGAGGAAGAAAAGAGAGCAGGAAAAAATAACCCGGAAAACCGTACTTAAAACGTTGACAAGCCCGAGCCGGATTTCGCTTTCGGTCTACTGGAATTTAGGTCAGGAGGCGTTACTCCTGGGACTTACCTTTACAGTAAAAGCGTGTGCACTACGAACTGTTTGTGGTCTATGGATTGATTTATCGCACGCAGATTTTGGAGTTGAAGGGAAATGGAGGTAATGAATCCTTGGTGGACGTGATCCGGACGATCGGATCTCTATTCAGGGCAATTCCTGCCACTGTCACTGTCTTCATCCAACAATACGGTGAGCTTTCAATGACATTTCCCCGTTCTACTGGTTCCAAAGGCAAGGCATGTGCTGGGTGAATTGGTCGGGACAATGGACTGTTGGGACTTATTAACTATTCGTTCACTCCTGTAATTGAGCTAAGTTATCATAAGAGTAGCTCTGCTGTTTACTTCGACTCCTGGGCAGTATTTTTTTTCTGTAGCAGTAACTCTATGTTCGTCATTGTCGTTCTTATTGCTGAAAATTCCCAGCCGTACCT